TATATATATATATATATATATATATATATATATATATATAATTATTCAAGCTTAATATATATATCCAGTGAAAAATTACTTTTATATATTTATATTAAATCTTAAATATCATTAACAAAATCTTTTATTTAGAGGGGACAACTTGTATTTACATTACATAGGTATAGAAAAAAATAAATAGGAGAGTTAGTACATAAATTAAATTATGTTGAATTGAGGGACACACATAAAGAGAATCATTTTCTCTTTGTATAAAGGTACTTAGTGCAACTGAAATGAGAAAATCTTTGTCTTGTATGACAATGATTATTTAATGTTTTCAGAATATAATTCACATTATTACAAACCACAAGAAGTATGTCAATTCTATAATTTAAAAAGTGATTGAAAAAACATTCAAAATAGTATATACTCAAAATAGAGAAGTTGCCTAGATGGTTAAGGTATTGCAACAAGTAACATTTCATAATAAAAAGAGATTATTTTTTTTAATTATTATCTGTTTAATCAAGTTTGCTGCACTATACTTATCTATTTTTTTTAATTTGCCAGTTATCGCATAATAATGCTCAAAAATAATAGTTATAAACTTTTTTTGAGGTTCAATTTTTTTTTAAAAAAAATTTATTTAATTATTCAAGTTTAATAGATTATATGAAATCTAATTATCAAATTATGATAAATGAATAAGATTAGTACTCAGTCAAAAACTTTCGATTCAAAATCTGATAAAAGATACTCATCATATAAATATAAATTCATATTGATCGATGCTACAAACATTAAACACCAGACAAAAATAAGAAGGATGGTAAAAGGTTGTAGTCGTAGTTAATCTGAATCCAATACTTTTAACTTCCAACATAAATTAATTCTCTAAAATTTTACTAATTTTTATTTTAATACAAATAGATAATTGATAAAAAACCATAATTTTATTAAAAAAGTACTAAGCATAAAATTTGTTTCTAATGACATCCTAGTGGGGGGGAGTGGAGACAAAGCTTTGAAATTGAATAGACATCATAAAAATCCATGTTATTTTCCCAAGTGGTAGTAGTTGGGTCATTTCACTGTTTGTCTTTTTCAGCAACACTCACACTAAAAATTTACAAAACCCTCCCCACATTTTACAAAATTTTCCTTTTATCCCCAAAATTTTGGGTCATAAAAAAAAAGTTTAGAAAAACTATCAAAATTTTAATATACACAAGAACTCGAAGTATTGAAAACACCTTTAAATTTAATTAGTTGCTTTAAAAATTATATTTCTGATAGAGTAACTAAACATAAAATACACCCCTAATTTTGCAATATGAGTGAAATGCATCTCTAAATTCTCGTCAAGTTTAAGATGGCTTCAACACTTCTCTCGATTTTTTTTATTAAAAGCCTCATATTTTTACAAAAATTTAACACCACTAGTTATGTCATGTGCTAAATTGGGAATGTGACCTAAATTTTGTTAGTCAAATAGATAATTATTTGTACATTGTCAAATATTTCTCTTAATAAAATATAAACTTTAATGTTTCGTATATAATTTTTTGACGAAGAATATTTAACGGGCGATACTATACATGGCCCTACCCACTGCCTTGTCCCTTTGTTCATTCTAATAAGCACAAGCAACAGTAGAAAAAAGGGTCCATTGTCCATTTCCATCATAACCAAAGCCAAAAAAAGCAAAAGGAGAACACAGTGAAGAAAGAAGAAAGGTAAAGTGAAGAAATTGTTGTTGAAGAAGAAGGAGAAGGGGTTTTGTTTTTGGTTTGAAGAAGATCGAAGAAATGCCGAATCAAAAGCAAGGAAGTGAACAGCTACAAACACTGATGCAATCTGGGCAAATTTCTGGGTCTTTTAGCTTTAATGGAACCTTATCTAAAGAAGATGAAGAGATGTCAAGGTCTGCGCTTTCTACTTTCAAAGCTAAGGAAGAAGAGATTGAGAAAAGGAAAATGGAAGTAAAGGAAAGAGTTCAAGCTCAACTGGGTCGGGTTGAAGAAGAAACCCGACGTTTAGCCATTATTCGTGAGGTTTGTCTTCAGTTTCATCCATTTTTTTTGTCTCTCTGTCAACTTGATTACTCCTCTTTTTCAGTAGCTGAGTATTTTCTTTCTGTAATCTGTACACAAATGTACTTTTTTTTTTGCTTTGTAGCTCAAAGAGTTTTGATTTTGTACTGTTAATGTAGAAAATCCTTAGAGGAGTTTAGAGATCAGGTACTGTTAAGCTTTGAACATTTTTTTTAAAAAAAATTTAGGTTAGGGGAAGGGGATTACAAGGCGGGGAATCGAATCGCGTAGCAATAAAGTGAAAGGTGAAAGTTTGCGTAGCCAATTAACTGAGCTACTAAGATATCTCGAAGCTTTGAACATAGTTTTGGGTTTTGATTTTGTTGTTATTGTGAAATTAGGGTTAGAGCCTATGAATTTGGGGAAATGAAGAAGTTTGATAATTGAACAATTATTGAAGGTTTTATGCTTTGCTAATTTGATTGAAATTAACACCATAGCATAAGAATTAGTTGGTTAAGGAAGAAAATCGTGTTTTTGGCTGCTAAATATGATCATGGATATTGATAATTGAAGTGTTTGGTAAGGCTTAAATCGCGAGTTATCTTAGTTTTCGGTTTAATTATCAGGAACTAGAAGCATTAGCTGATCCAATGAAGAAAGATGTTCAAACGGTTCGTAAGAGGATTGATGCTGTCAACAAAGAGTTGAAACCCCTGGGACAGACCTGCCAGAAGAAGGTAAAAAAATACTATGTGCCATTTATCTTCTTGTTCACAAATTTTCATTTTCATTAGCTGTTTTTTTTGGAGCTCGTTTTGTTAGTTTGTGAGATTGTGTATGATATAATAAGTCAAATTAGTAATACATCCTCAGAGTTGAGTTAATCGTAGCGATGTGATTGTGAAGTGTTAAAGGAAGTTATGGATCCGGGGATCTTGATTTGTGGAATGCAGGAAAAAGAGTACAAAGAAGCTCTTGAGGCCTTCAATGAAAAACACAAGGAAAAAGTCCAGCTAATATCAAGATTGATGGAGGTAACTCTATAATTTACAAGAACTTCGTATTGATTTTTCATATTCGCAAACATTCTTATATGTTGATTGATGTACGTGCAGCTGGTGGGGGAAAGCGAGAAAATGCGGTTGAAGAAGTTGGAGGAGCTGAGCAAGAGCATTGAAACAATACAGTGAATAACCAGTAAAATCTCCCCTGACTAATTAGGCTTGTGTGATGTATTTAAGAAAGTTCTTTTTCTCTATTTATATATGCGTGTGGCGTTTGATTGTATTTCCTTTTCTCTTTTCCGTGTTGTTGTCTGATCATTTTAGCTTTTGGAGGGATGATCAGTGTCTAATTTTAGGTCTCTTAAGGGAAAAGACAGACCCTCTAATACAGGTTTGTAACTAAAACAAGTCTCAGAACAGTGGATTCTTTTACTTTTTGTCTTCACATCTCAATCTTTTTCTTTGTGTTATTGATGACTGTGTTGCTCTTAACCAATTTGCATAGATAATAGAGAGTTGGTTTGAATGTCTCTTTCAAGTTAGTTAGCTGATAGACTTCTTCTTTGCTTTGTATTTGTCAACTAATGACAAAGTCAATTTGTTGATTATATTGCTTCTTTAAAGATCATGTCTACAGAAGATCGATGTGCATACACATTACCTTCCCCGACCCTACTTATGGGATTAGAACGAGTATGATGTTGTATCCAACATGATTTACTCAAAAGGGGCTGTGGAAATGTTTGTATTGATCCTAGAAATAGCAATATCATGACTAAATCATGGGTTGATCTTGTCGATGCACCCTTGACTTGTGGATTACTACAACTACATCATTGTCGATACTTGATTTGTTGATTGTTTTTTTGGTTGATTGATTCTTGAAGACAAGAATACGGACTAGGAGACATCTGTTTCTGCTTTCATTTCCTACTATTAGTATGTCGATGCACCTAGCTGTTAGTTGATGTTAAGCTAAGCCAGTCCTCAGAATTCCATTGACAAAACCAAACTTGATGGACAAGCATAATAATATAGTGTGTTGATTTCCCTAAGCATTAAGATAAAAATCATCTTTTTAGTTTGGTTACCAACTTGATGATGGTATCAAAACCAACAAATTCGATATAATCTCATGAGTAAGGTCTGATGAGGATCGTGTTTTATTCGACCTTAACCCCTAATAGCGGAAGATTATAGTAAAAAGATGAAACATTTGTATTTATGATACAATAAATTGTACTAGCATGTGCATTTATGTATATCCATTGGCTCTGGCCAATTAAACGGTACATTGCACAGGAATTCTGAACTCTGAGCAATAATGGCAGGGCTTGTCATGCAAATATGCCAATCAAACGCCATATTCCCAAATGTTTGCTTTAAAAGCTTAAACGGTAATATCGAATGACATCTATTTCCTAGTAGTCCTAGTACTATGTACCTTAATTTTTTATGGTTTCTTAAATTTGTTGGTTACCTTAATTTTCACCTTGCTGGAACCGGCTCATTCCACACCTGACAGAGGTAAACGTGCACCTGTTAACTTCAGAAAAAAAAATCATGTGTATATATATGTATATTTACTTTGAGAAAATGACAAAGATTAGAATATAGATTACAGTGTACCCATGAGAAGTACAAGAGTAACATTATGCTGTCGCTAAATTCAATTAAAGCCTTTTTCCATTGTTTTTATTTTAGTGCATCCAAAATTTTCAAATCTTGGATTCACCTCTGTCCCCTAGTAATTTAATTCGACCATAAGAGCTTAATGCCTTTCACATGTCATGTTCCGTTGCCATCTCTCCTACTATCTATACTTAACTTGCTTTATTTCTATCAGAAACAACTTCTCTACCTTTTTTATGCAAGGTAGTAATACAGTCTGCTCATACACTACCCTCTTCAAACTCGACTACTGGTTGGGTGATAACACTATTAAATGGACTATACTTTTAGTGAGCTATTAAATAAGAAAGCTTGTAATTTCTATCAACTAGCCAAATATAACAAAAAAAAAGTCCCCTACTATGGGGGCTATAGCTACAAGATGTAACTATTTCAAACTGGTCCCTAAATTGACAACTAACAAGAAATTGAGTCCATTCATTTCTTCTTATTCGTCATTATCTCCCAAAATTAATTCACTGTCTCACTTTCTATATCTCGTCTTATAAAATTTATACGAAATTTACGTTCAATTTCAACAAATTATATCAATAGTGGACCCCAAAAAAAAAAATGTTAGAGAAGCCAACTGTTTTAACCAGTATAGCACGTTAGTGAGAGTTGTAATGGGACCAAAATAATAATAATTAAAATTTCCCCACAAAGCACGAGTGTGACATGTGAATAAAAATATATTTAAGATAGTGCCATTACCTTATTCTCTAGTCATTGACACGAAATATATGTTAAAATTAGTTTAATACTAAAAATAATTATTCGTATTCGATATTTATAATGAAATAAAATAATTTAATCTAATATTCTACCATACAAAAAAAAACAAGACAAGGGCTAAATCATCTTATTTTTTGTTTGAGTGCAACGGATTTCTAGCCGTGAAAACAAGTATATTTTATCCGAATATTATGTAAGTGTTTAAATATATCTAAAATAAGTCGATACAAACAGAACTTTTGGGGTCATTTGCACTTTATTCCCTATTTGATGATAGTCTTTAAACTTTTATTTTTAGGGCAAATAACTTTTTCGTGAGACATAATTTTACGTTCTTGCATCGTAATTTGTAAGTTGTCCTTGAAGAGTTTATGCGACGCTAAACATTATATATTTGATTCGAAGGACTAAAAATTAAAGACCAATTCATTTGAAGAGCAAATCGTGTTATTGAATGGTCCGTTTGTCATACTCATGGGCTTGTTTCTATTGGGTTTATCCATCAAATTAATTCATATATGGATTGAAAATGTTGAAGAAAGTTGGCTTGTTGAACTGGGCTTTCAAAATATATGTACAAGATGGGCCTATTCAGATAACAACATGGGCCAATCTGATAGGAAATAGGCCCAAAATAACACTTTTTGTCATAAATATGGGTTCGTCTTAAATTTTTGTCCATTCACAATCAAAACTTATACCTTAGTGGAATATAAATTATTTAGAAACTAAAGTATTTCACATGCATAATTTGTGGGGTACAATAATATGAAAATATAAAGTTATGTCCGGTGAAAAAATTATTTGTTATGATAGACGTAAATGAAAGATACAATCTTATCCTCTCGTATAAATTCCTAAGTCTCTATTCCTTCTTGGATACATTCCTATCTCCAAAAATATATCTTTATCCCTCTCGGATATATCATATCCCCCTCATATACATCCTTATCCCCTCTCAAACACATTTAGGGCTGTTCAAAATCGAACCGAAACCTAAAAGCCGAATCGATAAAAAAGTTATTGGTTTATATTATTGGGTTTTTGGTTTAGTGGTTTTGATGACGATTTTGATTTTTTTTATTATCAGGTTATCGGTTCTTAACGGTTTAAAATTTTTTCTTAACGAGTTAACCGATAATCCGATAGTAAATTAAATAATAATATTTATACTATTTTGTATATAAAGTCCTCGACTTAGAGTTTAATTTCCCACTTTTATTTTTGGTTGTCTCAAATACTTGATGATTCTACGATATAAAAGTGTTTGCTTTTGAGCAAGATGTAACTTGTGAGATTTTCAATGTTTTTTCTTTTGTGTCAAATCTCAACGGTTAAACCGATAACCGAAACGATATCGATCAAAAACCGATAAACCAATATCTTAATGGTTTCATAACGATTTAATATCTGTACAAACCGATAATCAATAAGTCAATCCGATAAACTTCAAAACCGAACCGAACCGGCCGATGCACAGCCTAAACACATCTCTCTAATTAAGTAATGTATTATTCGCAATATATTAGACAACTAAGAAATATATCTGAGAGTAATATAAAATTAAAATTTTTATAATCGAGAAAACTTATGAAATAGGGTATCCCAAAATGTGTGAGGCTTTTGTAAGTTATACTTATTTTGACTCAATCCAACTCATAGCTTGCCCCACTTTCACATAATAAGAAAAAAAAAGTTAAGTTGTTTGTCTAAACATGATTAGTTGATAGTATATATTCACTAATAATGCTTTAATTAGGATCAAAAGATGGAATCTATTTCTTCACAAACAAAATTTAAACAATATGGGGCAACAATTTAAGGATTCCACTATCTTTTTTTAACTTTAGTGTTTGGTGATTTTGTTGTTAAACTTAATAATATTGTACTTTAATGGACAAATATAATATCATGAATATGATATAATATAAGCTCCTCATTCACTTTATCTTTTTTGTCTGCTTCCATTAATAACAATTATAAAAGCAATGCCCCCACCATCATCATTATCACAATATTAATTCATACTTCACTATTAGCATAACAAATAAACTTTAATTACCTTTTATTTCAATAGAAAAAAAAATATAATATTCGATATAATTTGGTCAAGCGAATCTACATACTGAAATTTAAATTAGTGATGTGATCGTATCATAGTTGTGTATAAAGTAGTATGTCAAAATCGCATATATATATTCTGTTAAAAAATCATGACATGAATAAGCACTGTGTTGAATAGCAATGACATAGATGAATCTTTCTCGAGTTTGTTAACGTATTTAAGCATTTTTTGTTTAAAAAATGACAAGGATTAGTCACGATAATCTTAATTAATCACCATTATTATACATCTTTAGAATGTTTTGTGGTAGGTGAGTTAATTTCCACATAATCATTGTATAATTTTGTCTGATTCCATTTTGTTCAAAAGAGAATGTTTTGGAGCTTTTATAACGGTAATCAAGGTGAATCCTAATTAACTTGTATTCACTAAGGTAAATTAAAGTGAAACATCAAACATGGTAGTACACGTTTTGTCTATAATAGGTTTCAAGTTAACAACGATAGACCAATCAAAATATCCTATTATCTCCGGAGGCTGTAAAGGATTACCTCAAAGTAGACCACGAAGGAGTACTATCTAGCAAGAAAATATTATGACCTACGTGTAATAAGTTAGTTCGTTTTAACAATCTATTTGTAATTACTAGTACTAACCGTAATAATATAATGATAAATGTTTTAACTATATAATTAATATATATATATATATATATTAATTAAAGTGAAAAGTAGAAAAAAATATTTAGTACATTTTTTACTTTGTACAAAGAAATAATATTCTTTGCTTAAAATCATATCAAAGAATTGATTCTTTTATACCTAGAAAAAAAAAAGCTTTCTTGAACTTCAAGTTGCACCCATGGCATGATAGAGGTGCAGCAACCAATATTCTTTACATTGAAAGTGTATGAATTAAGAAAAGTATAGTCACTAAATTAATATTAATTATTTCAAAAAGTCATTTTTTGCTATAAAGATTG